GTTGATTGTTGACTTGTTGTTACACCATAACTTCATTTGAACTCTTTGATCCACTTTAAGCTCTACTAATAAGGCACTCAATCACATCATCTCGGCAACTCCTAAGGCCGTGACCCTATGCGCTGCCTCTGTTGTTGAGTTCGCTACTACTGGCTATTTTTTGCTCTTCAATGAGAGTAAGTTGTCCCCTACGAACATGCAGTATCCTGATGTGGACCTTATGTCATCCGCACAACTTGCCTAGCCAGAGTCACAAAAGCCCTCAATGCTTGCATGCTCATTCTTTTTGAATATCAACCCCTTTCCGGAGCACTCTTCAGGTGCCGCAGAACTTGATTCACTGTATCAATATGACTGTAGGCTTGCCACATTGCAAATGAGATGTCGAGACGATTGTGACTCATACAGATCAGATGACCCATCAATCTCTGGTACCTCTCACGATCAACTAGCTCTTCCACCTCTCCACACAGCTTGACCTTCTGAACAATTGAAGAAACTACGAACTTGTATCCCAACATGTCTGTTTCTGTGAGGAGATCCGATACATAATTCCTTTAGGGTAGGACTATCTCCTCTAATACACGGGCCACCTCATTCTCAAAGAAGTATTTGAGCTATTTAAGTCCTTTATCTCAAATTCTTTGTCCAATCTTGATTTTAGTTGAACAATCTCTTGCTCATCATCCAAGTGATAATCATCTCATCGACACACAATAAGCATAGTGGTGTGACCTTCATTTTGATGAAAAAATGTCGTATGGTCGGTATTGATTTGTTGATATCCACCATAACTTTTATAGACTTGTTAAACCAGGCCCGAGAAGACTATTTCAAACCATAAAATGACTTCCCGACTTTGCACATCTTGCTCACTGTTTGGTCTATACTGAATCCTGGTGGTTTCTCCATATACCCCTCCTTTGGTAACTCACAATGAAGAAACCTATTATTCAGATCAAGTTGGTGCAACCTCTACCCACCATTTACTGTCAAATAAATCAATATCTTTATTGTGATTTTCTTCGCTACTGGTGCAAATATATCATCATAATCAATGTTATACGTTTGACTGTACCTTTTTACCACCAATCGCTACCTGTAATGCTCCACTATCTCTTCTGAATTTTTTTTTTACTATGAAGATACACTTGCACCCACCTGCTCTTTTCCCCGCTTGTAGTTGTACTATCTCCCATGTTTAGTTTTTATCGAGAGCCCTAAGCTTTTCATGCATGGCCGCTTTCCATTTGAGATGCTCCATAACTACCTGACAACACTTTGGTATAGATGCAGTGTCAAAATATGCAATGAATGCTCCATATGTAGGTGATATGTTAGTGTATGAAACAGAACAATACCATGTTCCCACCCAAAACGTTCAGGACGATGTCTCGCATTACTGTGAGAGGTCCTCCTTAAATTCATGGTTGAAAGTAAAAGGAATAAGAATCATATCACCTATGTATTCTAAGTTTGAGGTCGATGGATTAGGTGTCTTGAGAGTCGGGGTTAACCAGTATAAGGGACTTGCTGACACGAGTGGCACTGCATGCAATATTCCCTCATTATGCTTCTTTCTCCTTGTATACACCCTTAGTTGCCCTTCAATCTGATCCCACCACCTCCGGGTTCTATCTCCTCATTTTTCAGCTTCTCTTTCCGATTCATCTCTCATTACAGGACAATACACCGCTTCCACATGAACCAATCTCTCACTGTCACTACTTACCCCATATTGCCTCATACCTCTAGTATTTGGCTAGTCACCAAAGGTTGAGATCACCTTCAGGGTGTAGTATAGTTCGAATTCTCTGAAAGACATATCCATGCTCACAAATAGTCTATTTTTTTATCGGGCTCCAATGAACATACCCTTTATGGGTGGCATAATAACCCACGAAAATACACTTCATGGCTCTTGGATCCAGCTTTTGTATTGATAGTCTATTATTCTTCACAAAACATACCCAACCAAATAATTTTAACGGGAATATCCCGCTATTATCTTCTTTCAAGAGATGATTAGGAGACTTTCAATCAAATACTCTCGAGGGCATTCAATTGATCAATTTAGCACCTGTCAAAACTGCTTACCCCACAAGTACTTTGAGACATTCATCACAATCATCATGCTTCGGGCTATTTCTAGAAGGTATCTATTCTTCCTCTCTGCTACTCCGTCTTTGTGGTGATGTGTATGGACTTGTGATTTGATGTTGTACCCTTTAGACTGACAAGTATTCCTTCAACGCCTTGTTAGTATACCTTGTCTCATCATCAAACCTCAATACCTGCACTACTGCATCATATTGAGTCTTAATTGCATTGTTGAATTTTTTTAAAACAAACACATCATCTTTATGTTTCATAATATAAATCCATTAAACTCGTTGAACAAGGTTCTCAAATATCAAAATATATCAAATCAAAAACATGAGAACCCCTCTTCCCAGAGTTGATATAAAGGCTCATAGTAAGCTTGTCAAACCCACACATCACAAAGAAGTTTTTGTTTATTTGTCTTTTCATACAGAGGCAGCTACAAATGTTCCCGTAAACCAAAACAAGAGCGTCTCACGTGTCTTTGTTGCAGCTGCAACACATCCTTCAAGCTTCTCCCAAATTCCCTCCAACACTCTACTATGGATGTCAAAGCTTAGTATATCCCCTTTCTATCAAAGTACTGAAGTCCACTACACTAAGTTTCAATCTCAAGTATCCAACCCATCATTTTCTCTTGAAAGATCACCTTAAGAATATCAAATGAAACAAATATTTTAGTTGAAGGATAATGACACTAATGGATCAAAAGTTTCACTGGAAAGTAAGAATCATGCAAAACATTGAACAAAGACAAAATCGTTACACCTCACTGTACCTTTACTTACTACAAGTTGAGTCGTATCATCAACAACCTGGATTCTCTCTGGAACTGCTAGATGAGTATATGAAGAGAACTCCCTAATTGTAATTGACATATTTCGAAATGCACTAGAAACTATTATTCATTCCAATGATCTTGTGGTGGAAATAGAGGCAAGAATATATGTATCACGAGTACCTTTGTCAGAGTGAGCATAAGTGGTAATGCTAGCCCTTGATGACGATGAGGAGGAACCATCCTCAACCCCATCACTTGTTGTTTTCTACTTCAAAATCTTCAAAAGTTCATGATTCTCATTAGTAAATACCACATCTCTCTCCCTCGTCCTCTGCCACCATCAGATTTGCCCGGTATCCCAATCTTTCACCTCTTCTACCACCATCACAACAACCATGGCCTCTAAACTGTCGACGTCCACCTGTTTCTCTCTCCTTACGTGGCATAGAATAGAACTTGCTCTGATGGCCTACTTCACCGTAGTTGTAGCACTTGTGAGTCTCCCCCTAGACACCTATCATACCCGAGCTAAAGGCAATCAAAGTTGATCGTGTACGTGGAAGTCCACTCGGCTCAGTGAAGCCTCATGTGACTCTCCTCTTGTATCATCATAGCGATGACCTCATCTAGTGAATGTATCTTCGCCTGGGCTAGGAGGACTGATATCCTCTGATCAAAGGTCAAATTTAGATGGGCTAGAAACTGCTCCCCATCCGTGCAAAGAGCTCCCCCTTCTTGCACCCCCGAATCACCATAGCTCAACATCAGTGAGAAGTAATCAAGGTCTGCCCACAACCGCTCCAGATCTATGGAGTACTCTTGAATCGATTGATCACTCTATACCACTGACTATATTTGTAATTCTCATCCCCAACAGAGATCCTCTTTAGCTTTGCTTGGATGCCCCTCACATTTTGAATGTCATTTGTTAATGAGACAATCAATGAAACCATTGAGTTGATTAATCATGTGCAAAGAAAGGCGTGTGTGGCAATCCACTGATTCCCCTCAGCACTGTCTCTCTTTGGCCTTCTCCGGTCAGATATCCCTCTAGTCTCTTATCTACTATAGCAGCCTCCTCGATCCCGATGCAACCAACTCAGATACGTAGCCGGTCTATCAAGTTTCAGATCCACATGAGGGGGATCTAGCATCAACTGCGTCGGAGTACATGTCGAGGTAGTAGCTCCCGTCGAGACGCCAACTTCTTGTATGGGTTCAACCAATAACTTCAGAATTTCAAGATCTATTTTTCTCAAAAGCTCCAATCCTTTACCTTCTTCACTATCTCCGTCTTTTGGCGTCCTCAATCACAAAGATGCAAGTCCATATCACACACAATTTTCTTCCTCTTCTTGACCCGATTTTTATTTATCTAATCATCATAATCAAATTCCTCCTCATTTCAACTCGTTTTTCTTGGGATTTGTGAGCATCGCTCCCCCCCTCCCCCGCGGAACCTTCAACCGACGAACAAGATCTTCTTGATGCGATGGTCGACCAGAAGAGAGAGAGGTGCGACTGAGAGAGAGTGTGAGCGGTAGCTGAGAGAGAGGAAGGTTTGGGTGAGGGGTGAAGTGTACGACAGCTTGAAAAGAAGGGAGCGAAGGAGTGACTGAGCTGGCGGTCTGATAAGTACAGGTGCGGTGAAGCTGGCGGCCTGCTGGAGATGGGAGCGGCGAAGTTGGGGAATTTGGCGAAGCTGGAGGCGGAAGTGGTAGAGCTGCAGTTTGGAGGAGGGAGGAGTGGCGACCTGTTAGTGGAGGAGCGGCAATCTGGTGGAGGAGAAGCATCGGTCTCGGAGAGCCAGCTAGGCTTTTGCTATGAAAGTGATTCTATTCATTAATGACTTGGGCTCCTATAGAGAATTACATTTATCTTAAAATAAAACTCTATTTATCAATAGGACCCTCAAATGGATACAAATCTCAACAGATATGGAAGATTTGGGTGGTATAAATATAAAAATTAAAGTTTGTATTAGATAGGTAAATGCATAGCAATTGGATGGTATGAATGTAAATGCCCCCTTCTTTTTATAGCACCTCTGAAGCATTCTTTCTGATAGTGTTGTTACTTACACTCTTTCTCCAAACTCCCCATCTTCCAATTTCAGGTGCACTGCTGATTGTGGTTGGATCACTGGGCACAGCTATGTGACATATGGACCTCTATTAAATGGAGCAACCATAGTTGTTTTTGAAGGGGTAGTCAGCTCACTGAAAATTTTTCTAATTCAGTTTTATTGTAAAAATGATATTTTGCAAGAAAAATATTTCAGCTTTTACTGTCTAATGTTTGAAGAAGTATTTTTTTTACGTAGTTAACTTTGTATTTGTTGGCTCAAACTATTATTTGTTTGTTTCTGTTGTATCACTAACATGGATATATAGCATTTAGTTTAGGTGGTCTAAAGCTTTCCCTGCAATATATGTTTTGTTTCTTCATTGGATGTCTGATATTGTTCAGATTTTTCTGTAGGTTCCGAATTATCCAGATTCTGGACGTTGCTGGGACATAGTTGATAAATATAAGGTGTCGCTTTTCTACACTGCTCCGACTTTGGTGCGTTCTTTGATGCGTGATGGTAATGAGGTAAGAATTTCTATGTCACTCAGAAACTTGTTGCTGGAAGTTTACCTTTTGGTCCTTCTCATTTAAATTATTAGATTGCTATTCTTAATATTTTAGCATAGAAAATACACCGTGCATGATGTAATTTTAGTGAACAAGAAGTCTAGTGATAAAAAGCTTACCCTTCATTTAATCTATCATTTTCTTTTTCTAGACATTTAAGTATATGAAAGTAAGAAAAGAATTACGAAGAGGGAATCATAGCTATTTGTAGAAGAGCCGAGCTATGCTTTAAGTTAGGAGAAACTAAGATATATAAGATAGTCATGGCAAGTGAATGAGAATAAGAAATTTTGATCAAGTTAGATGTATATAAAGCGATTGTAATAGGATCTTAATTGAGATCAAGACATGACGAAAAATTGCAAATTTTGTTATGTGGAATTATTAGATGTGAGGTTTAAGGAATCAATTCTAAGAGTAAAATGAATAGAGTTAGGAAGTATATGCACCAAGTATATCTAAAAAGCTGAAGTTTAGCTAAACTTGAAGAAGATTTAGGTTAAAAGGCCACACATATTGAGATTTATTGTGATATGTTGGAGTAATTTGGTTGTAAATCTTTTTATGAGTAAAGTTTTAAAATAGTCCCCTAATTATTTATATGAGGTTATTTTAATCCTAAAGTCTATAAAATGTCAATTTAGTCTTTAGGTTTTTAAATTGGGGCTTAAATTGTTTTCTATTAGTATTATTTCAATTAATATTAAAAGCTGTTAGGGACTAAATTGACACTTATATAGACTCCAGGACTAAAATGACTTTCTATAGATAATTAGGGGACTATTTTGACACTGCTCTCATATTTTTATCAAAGTCTTTAAGATTAAGAGGTGTTTAAGATCTTAGTTTAACGCCCTCATTCTTGCAAATAAAAAAAGATGAAAAAAGGATGTTTAAATTCCTGTGCTTTGTATATATTTGCTTGTATTATTTATATGAGGATCATAATCTAAGTTTTGATATTATAATTACGTTATGCGTGGGGGTCATAGGAACATAGCTTAGAAAGCTTTGATATTATAAAATTACTTTGATTTATGCCTGTAGCATCTTCTATGGAGTCAATTTTTATGCTAACATTGTAAATGCTATTTTGTGTTAAGACCCAACCTGGGAGTTTGGATTTACCAAGACGGGAATGAATGATCAGACGATACTGACATATCAGTCTAACATTTACAACTATTCACAAATCATCCAAATAATAAAGAGCCACTAAATCACAAAATTCTAATACATTATCTAAACCAAATAGTATGAATATCCAACTGCAATAACAATTTTAAAAAAGAAACTTGACACTGGATAAAATATTTTCCTGATAATTATTTCTATGAGCTCTTATCCTAATGGCTCTTACAATATTGTCCTATGGGCAAGGTTACCCAAAATGCAATCTAAGGATGTTCCTGCGAATAATCGTGTGCACAATATAGGTTCTACATGCATTTACAGCCTTATTCTTTTTTAGCATCATCGGCTATGTGATTATATATGTGTAGGGGATGCGTACATATTTTCCTAAATGCTAACCAGCCTAACATAAAGATTGAGGCAATTGTGAGTTTTGAGTGTAAATTTGAACCTTCCTCAATGTTCTCCTAGATGTTACTCCTAGATTATAACTGACTAGGTTTACCTATGATGTCTAGGTTTACTTATAATAGAATAACAATTAATGTGAATATTTTTTTTCTAAATTTATGAAATTAACCTAAAACTTAAAAAATTATGAAAATTAAGGGAGTATTGATAAAGTACCAAATTCCCTTTAGAAAATTATAGAAAATAAATAAAATGATTTTTCTTGTTTTTTATTAATTTCCTAATTTATATATTAATTAATAAACAAAGAAATATTGATTCAAATTTTTAAAATGATTCAATAAATTAACTCCAATTTTAATAAATCATAATTAAATTCAGAGGATTTGGCAATTGAGTATTCCTATATTCTTAATTCAAAGTGGTTATTTAATAACTTTAAAAATAGGAATATATTGAATATTACATAAATACTTTACAAATCACAGAAAAACATAGGTTTAATTTTAAATATGCAAATAAACATTTAAAATAATCTATCAAAGAATTTCGCTAATTTTAATTTATCCAATATTTAATCTAAATTATTTAAATTAATATATAAATCATAAAAAAAATTATAAATTGATTTTCTTAAAAACATAGAATTATCCCATCTTTGTTGGCTAAATCTTTTTTTTTTTTGTTATTAAATAAATTATCTATTTAATTCAATAAATTTATTTTATAGATTAATAAGTTTCATAAATGATCCTATAGAAACTAATTTTTAAAAAAATTTAAAATTGTTATCCATTTAAACTCAACTTTTTTATTTTTATAATAATTTTGATCAATATTTAATTTGAAGAATGACATTTCATTGCATAAATAATTATATGAATCATATAAAATTGTGGATTTAATTAAAAAAGTAAATAATGTATTTTAATTAAAATGTTTAAAAAGATTTTATTCTCAAGAATTTTCAGATCATTTATGTAGTTTTATCTCAATAAATGTTATTCAATGAACCGGGTATTATGAAGGGTGATTAATTAACCAATATTAAGGTTATGGATTTATAAAATTTTAGGCTTGATGGATTTCAAACGATTTATGAGAAAATTTGACTAAAATCGGCCCTAGGGTTGACTAGACTTTAACCTAGTCACTTAGTTTTTGACCGAGGTTGGTCTTTAGGGCCAAGGGGCTCTGCTAGGATCCAAGGAATCTAGTGTAGATTATGGGTTCGCCTCGGTTTAGGTCAGGTCAATTGGGTACGGTAAGCTTATGTTCACTAAGTTGACCTAAGGTTGAGTAAACTAGGCCCTAGGGTTCAAAGTACCTGGGGCTAAGGTCCATTTCAACCTTCTTCTCAATGCATTGGAGTTTATAGATGATTCTTATCTTCGCTTCTATTGAGATAGTATGGATATGCTTTTTCTATAATTTAAATCTTCTTCTAATGAATATGAGTTTCCTTTTTCATAAGTTGACTCCACCTTGAATTGAGAAGTTATTCCATCAATTTTGAATTATCTATTTGAATCTCTCTTTACGAAACTAAAAATCAAATCTTAAAATATAATGAAGAAGCAATTTTGTGTGAAGGGTTGCAAGCAATGTTCATGAAAAAGTTTGTTAGTTGCTTTTAGGCTACAACTACGAAAATGATTGCTATGGTGTTGAGAGGAAAATAATTTGGTTAAGTTTAGCTAAGATAACATTCTTTCTATATGTTTTACCAAGTAAATTTTCTTCCAAACAAAGGAATATCGAATAAGTTGAATTCATTGACCAAATCTATGAAGAATGCTTAAGGTGATTTAATACTATTGGGGGAATTCGACTCCAAACAAAGTTTCATTGAGATGATCAGAAATAATTCATTCAAAAGACTAAATATTATTGAACAAAATGAATCATTCAAAAATATAAACTTTCCAATTCATCATAATTCATATATAGAGTGGTGAGGAATAACTCAAAGAAGTCATGGAAAAATGGATAGAGATTGCGCTTTAAATCTTCTAAAATTGAGCCCCAAATAACGTTGTTTGATTTTCCATTTGAATTAAGTGTGCACCAATCAATAATAATCTTCCCCCTAATAGATGAGAGAATAATAGAGGAGGGATTAGAGAGCAAACTCTCGAAGACAAATGATATTTGGATTCTCTTGTTGAATAGCTTTGAAAACATTCTTCTTTAGAGCCTAAACCTCTTGCATTTTAAGAATCATTCTTCATTAGAGATAATATATGAACCTCCTCTTGAACATCAATCATTCAAGAGCTTAGAAATGACCCTTGGTGGGGTTTTCAATGCATGTGGCCGAAAGTGTACTTCCCAAAAATCATACGAGATATATTATGATTAGTATTTCTGATGTTTTGAGCTTGAAAGAGAAGAGCGGGCCAATTTTTTCATTGAAACAATGTCAATAATTAGAATAGAGATTTTCATACAAATTAACTCTTGTATAAATTAGGTTTCTCTTTAAGAAAACTAGGAAAACAAATGAGGAAGAAAAGATCCTTGAATCGAGGAACAAAAAACTTTCAAATTAATGTTAAGATGCCCCAATATCTTTTCCTTATATTCGGTTTTCCCACAAATCAAACCGTTAGTGTTCAATTTGACCATAGAGAGACTAATTTCCAAGGCTAAGAGAAGCAACAATTGGTTCCAGCTTTTTTAAATAGCCACAATGTCAGTCTCCACACAGTTGGGATCCATCTTCTTACAATTAGAAACCAAAGGGATTCACAATGAAAGCTTACTGAAATTTACTTAGATGCTATAACTTGTTTGTTTTGTTCTTAATTTCCCTTATTCCATATCAATTAATGGAAAAAGGCTCCCAATACTTTCATATTTTTTGTGAATATCAATTTTTTTTCTTTTTTTGATTGTTGTCTTTCTTTGGTTGAAATATCTGAACGTCCATCTGCAGACCTATTTTTTCCTATATTTTTTTTCATTAAGGACGTGACCAATTCAAATAGAAAACTTCAATTGCAAACAACAGTTTATTTTTGTAGTTATTAATTTCACATTCTTTTTTATTTTCATCTTATTTTATTCTATATAGTTATCTAAATTGGGCTTATTAGTGACCTTCCATCAAACTAGTATGTTAATTGCTATATTATTTTCTCTTTGCACACAAATGTACGCTCAAAACATCTAAAAACTTATGTAGATGTGGTTTATTAGCGGCCTTTCATCAATTTAGTATCTTGGAAATTATTATTATTATTATTTTTTTTTTTGCTTCACACACATTTTTGGCATACTTTCTTGCAGCATGTGACTCGCCACTCACGCAAATCCTTACGTGTTCTAGGAAGTGTGGGGGAGCCCATCAATCCTAGTGCATGGAGGTTCATAACATCAATTTTGGATTCATTAATGTGCTAAGTCTCTTTTGTAATGGCACTGAAAGTTAGATTTTTTCTTTTTAACAATTGTGAAGGTGGTTTTTCAATGTTGTCGGTGATGCACGGTGTCTTATATCCGATACCTGGTGGCAAACTGAGACTGGCGGTTTCATGGTGACATTTTAATCTTTTACCTAGCTTTATAATGATTTACCATATTTTAATTATTTCAATTTAAATTGCAATGTTGTGCAACACAATTTCGCCTTTTTTGTGATATTTAAGCTTTCATGCAGATCACACCTTTACCAGGTGCTTGGCCGCAAAAACCCGGTTCGGCTACATTTCCATTTTTTGGGGTGCAGGTGTGCAGGATACATACAGCATAGACATTGATAGATTTTATGATATCCTTTTTTATTTTTTATTTTTGTAGGCAGTAATAGTTGATGAGAAAGGCACTGAGATAGAAGGGGAGTGTAGTGGCTACCTTTGTATTAAAAATTCATGGCCTGGAGCCTTCAGAACGCTTTATGGTGACCATGAGAGATATGAGACCACATATTTTAAGCCATTCCTAGGATATTATTTCTCCGGTGATGGTTGCAGCAGGTGACATTTTCCATATCGAATTATTGATTGTTTTTTATATTGGGAAATAAGCGAAATTTAATCACTAAGAGCAAAAAGAATAGAACATAGAAAAAGAATCAACACATTAGAACAAAAATAACTATTTATTGGTTTACCCAATTAATGGCTGTCTAATTTCTGCTAGTATTGGTTTTACTTCTTTTTTAGGGGCATTTACATATATAGCACACATTTCTTATGTATTTACATATCTCACACCGAAACTTTTATATTTACACACATAGCACTCAAATTCGCTATGTATGTTGAGATATGTAAATACATACGAATTGTGTGTTATGTATTTAAATTCATCTGATGCAAGATATAAGATAGTGCCTCCTTGATAAAGAAAAACTATAACAGTAAAAAATGTATAATGCATTTTGTAAACACCCCCTCACTAAATAACCTATGGATTTTTTACACCACTATTAATTCTACATTTCACATTTTTTTCATGGAACCAAAAATTGGAACCACAACATAACTTTTTCTCTCTTAAATTTTTATTGGAAAGGAAACTATATTGGCTATTTATGAGCAAGTTATTTTTGAGGTTGTAGTGTGATTGCCAATCATCCATAAAGCATGATTCATTTGAGCTTGCAATATATCTGGTCAAACCTTCTCGTTGAGGAAAAAAATATCATCTTTACTTATTTTTTAGTGCATTAAGATTTAACTGTCTTCATTCTTTAGGGACAAGGATGGGTATTATTGGCTCACTGGAAGAGTTGATGATGTAATTAATGTGAGGTACTTTCTAAACTTATTTGCTCTATCAATGTGGGACATCAAAGCATGCAATTATTTCATTTGCAAAAAGTGTTTTTGCATATTAGAAGATTTAAGTAAACACTTCCATTCAGTGTAATGATCTGAGTTGTATGCAGCGGGCATCGAATTGGCACAGCGGAGGTTGAGTCAGCGCTGGTTTCTCATCCTCAGTGTGCGGAAGCTGCAGTAGTTGGCGTTGAACATGAGGTCAAGTGTCATTCTTAGAGGTTTGGTTTTAATGACTCGTTTTATATGCGTCTCTTAAGAACCTACTGCTGTTGCAGGTTAAAGGACAGGGAATTTATGCTTTTGTTACTTTGGTGGAGGGTGTTCCCTACAGCGAGGAACTGAGGAAAAGTCTTATTTTAGCTGTCAGAAATCAGGTATATTTTCAACTTACATTTGTGTAGGATTATTTTAGGATAATCCCTGACCATTTACATGGGATCATTTTAATTCTAGAGTTTATAGAAATGTCAAAATAGTCCTCAAATTCTTTAAATTGGGGCTGAAGGAGTTCCCATTAAGGACTATTAGAGCTCAATTTTAAAATAGTTATGGACTATTTTGGCACCTCTATAAATTTTGGGACTAAAATGGCTACATGTAAATAGTTGGGCACTATTCTTAGGATAAATGTTCAAGTTCTTTTGCAGTTTAGTTAGGATGGTGCAGTGCTTGTTTTTCATGAGTAATCTAATCTCAACGAGTTTTGCCAAGCTAGACTTTTAAGGGCTATTTGGTATCATTTTTATTTTTTATTTTCTATTTTTTTATTTTCATTTTGTTTAGTTTATATTATGATTTGAAAAAAGCATATTTGACATGTTTGATTAAGACATGATTATTTTTAAAATACACAAAACACCTAAAAGTTATTTTGAGTATTCTTATAAACATGTTTATTAGTTTTTAGAAACAAAAAATAAAAAAATATTAAAACACATCAAACATAAAAAACAAAAAGAAAAATGATCCCAAACAAGTCCTTAGTTATTAGAGGCAGGTTGCATTGCTTTGAGATGTTCTTTGTTGCACTCGGACTCCTTGTTCTGTGCTTATTGTCACAAGCCCCTAGTTAGTTGTTTTTTTTTTAATTTTATTATCCATAAATATATAAATTCTTAATCATGTAAGATTGTTTTATGACGTGTATCAAATTCTGCTATCTTTTTCTTTTTCTTTTTTACGATTTTATCTTTAATCAGGTATAATATCTAATGTCTTTTTTTGAGATATTCTCTCTTTAGTTTAGGCAGTAGGCCTGCTTTATCTCTTTACTTTTATTAATGTTCTTGTTGTTTCCATCTTCTCTATTACCTTTTTTTAGGCCTTTTTTTTTTTTTGAAGATTGTTTTGCATCATTTGCCTAGTGAGACAGAGAGGTCAATTGGTTTGCGTGCGTGCGTGAGTGAGAGAGAGAGAGATCTATAATGTTTGGAACTAACATTTATTAGACTTGAATAATAAGGCCGACATGAGCTCCTTTTTATATCCAAAAGAGAATAACAGCTCAAAGAGGTCATTGGCCACCTAGCCATTATTCATAAGCACCTAATATAATAATGAAATACATAAAGGAATAAATACTTTTCTGAAGAATGGCACACCCTTCTTTCCTAGGGAGCGCGGTCGGCAGAGGAGGGCAAGGATGGGATGATGATATTGTGCTTGGTGTTTTTTGTGAATCTTGATGCTTGTATGTCTTTTTTGTTTCCTTTTTTGGGCTAGCTTTAAATGTAGTCCTACATGTCCACGGAACTTAGAATATTCTACCACATTGGTCGGGTTTTACCTAAATGTTAACATTTAGGTTGGGTTAGCCATAGATATATAATTTACATGGATTTGACCTTAGGTGTCAAGTTTGGATTAACTAGTGTTGATCAGCGGAAAGCCTTCCTGGTCAACAACCAAGTTTGAAATCCGGATGAAAAGTTTTTCGAATGGATTTCTGAGAGTAATACTTTGATCTTGGTTAATATTCCAAGGATAAAACATTATGAAAGTACCCATTCTAATGTTAAATTTATTAGCTAAATTGAAATTTAATACCTAAAACTGCTTTACATAAGGGATGAATTATGTAGGATCATAGTATTGATCCCATATTTTATGTCTGGATTTAAACCTGTATATGTTATTTATGAAGTCATGAATTCAGTTGTTTAAATCAAGTATAGAAATGATTTACACTTAAAAGAGTTGAAATATGCGTAATTTCCTGGTTGATTAAGTCACCATTCTCCCCATGCTTTGAATTTATGCCCCCATAAGTGAAATTGCCCTCTTCCCTTCATCAATCAACTACTGCTTATTTTTTAGTGGAGAAAAGTGTTAAAATGATCTCATAACTCTTTTTAGTGGTTCATTTTAGTCCTAAAATCTATAAAAATGTCATTTTAGTTCTCAGAATCTTTTCATAGGGGCTAAAATAATACTTTTGGGGACTATTTTAGCTTCTATAAAAAGAGTGTAGATATTAATTTGATATTTTTTATAAATTCTGAAATTAAAATGGTCCCATGTAAATAGTCTGAGGACTATTTTAACATTTTACTCTTCTTCCAGACACCTAAGAACCAGGATTTAGTAACACGATCTCCCCGCCATTCACGGGATCACAGAATTCAAAACTGTCAACCGATCCGTGGTCTAGTGGTTGAAGTAGAAAGTTATCTCCAAAATCATGAAATCCAATCGTATAATTTGAGATCTATCATTCACCATTTCTTTCAAAGAATTGCTCAAACTTTAAACCAATTCCTATGTTTACATGTATGCCATTCAAAACTTTCAAAAAATATCATCATTTTAGCTTTTAAAAAGTGAAATGTATCTCTTTTCATGCACAGGTAAGGCGGGTATGTATGTAAAAACTAAAATTCAGGTGTTTGTTATGTAAATACATAGGAATTTAATGGTATGCAATTGGAATGGGATTTAAAAGAGAATATTGACAAATGAAGACTGGTGATTTTCAGATTGGGGCATTTGCTGCTCCAGATAAAATCCACTGGGCTCCAGGGCTCCCAAAAACGAGGAGCGGGAAGATCATGAGAAGGATATTAAGAAAGATAGCTTCCAGGCAGCTGAATGAGCTTGGTGACACCAGCACTCTTGCAGAACCTGCTGTGGTCGACCAGCTTATCGCACTCACCGATTCCTAAAGCATTTTCCGGGGTTTTTCTCTCTTTCTTTCTTGGTTTTATTTCATTTTCGGCACATCACCATGATTATAGATATAGAAGTACTTTTATGTTAAAATTATGTTTTCAATAAATTTTTTGAATATTTTTTCCTCTATACTTGATTGTTTAAAGGTGGATTTAACACATTTTTGTTATTTTATATGTGGTGATGCATGCTTAAGACATCATCATCATTATTATAGGTTGTTTAGTTCCTCCAGGGAGGGCGATATTCTTTAGAATATGCGTATTTTCAGGTCATATGCCACTTAGTTCCCCTGAAGACATCCCATAAAGCTTCACAATTCTTCACCTCTCTCATCACCCACAGCTCCCACCTAAATTTTACACAAGCGTATAATAATAAAAACAATAAGGAAAAATTGCATGCATAAATGTTATATGTTTATATAATATAATATAAATTTTTTTTTGTATGTTTATTCTACTCTACTTATAAGCAAAAAATGTGCATTCCATTTTTTAAATGTTAACAATAATAATGATACTTTTAATGTCATATGAAAGATTCAAGTATTATAATTGTAAAAATTAAATCTTGCTGGATACATAAATACATGGAAATGTCTGGTATGTATGTCAATGTCCCAAATAATAAACTGCTCCAAAAGCTTACATTTGGCCACACTTTATATGTCAGTTATTAATGAAATTACTATGTTTAATTATAAATATAATCACGAAATATTAAATTGAATGTGATTATTAGTAAAATATTGTATATTTATTAAATTTTAAATCTCAAGGGTTGAACTCTAACCTTCTCTCAGTTAATTAACTCAGCATTTTATTACTTGTGCTTTATAATGTTACAAGCACAATTAGACTAACAGAAAAGGGCTACACCATTAGATGGGGGGCTTCAACTCTTCTGCATTATGAGTGTCTATATTCTACCAACACTAGTTTTTTTTTTTTGCAAAATTTTAAATTTGTTTTCTAAACTAAAATTGGGAAAATATTTTTTCAAACATTAGTGGTCGTTAAAGCAGGTTTTGAAAGCGGAAGAAGAAATATACATAAAGCATTCAGGGGCTTCAGCTTTCGGTGGTCAAGAATGTCAGTTAGTGGTACACAACAGATAACGCAGAGAGCATGGAACACTTTTAATAGAAATTTTATTGAATAATACATATCAAGTGGCGGTTCGCTTCTCGGAAGCGCTCTTTACAAACTCGGACAAGGAAGAACAGACCAGAGAGAGAGTAATACATCGGACGATGGAGCACATATTATATCTGTGAACAAACGAGAGTCGGCCCCACTTTCATAATAATAATATTACATGTATTATTATTGTGTTAAACTGGGCTTCATGCAATCTATAGGTGGGCGTAACGGCAACCCCGCAGATCCCGGGTGGAATGTATAAATAAAATCCTGGCGGTATGTTGTTCGGATTTCCATAAATATTATTAACTTACGATCCAATCCCAATCAACCTCAGCTGTTCAAAACATCAGTCACCAGAATTAAGGTTAACAAACAGCCCCCAAAACTTACTACGTGCGGAAAGATACGTGTGTATTTAGTGATATGGTAGTAATATTCATCATAATACTATCACAATATTACCACAATACTGGCCATTTGATGAAGTGAGAGAAACACAGCACACTGCGCGTTCACTCTTTACTCCGCTATTCTTATTTGCTTAGCTTGCTTAAAACTAGCTTCAAATTGGGCTTACAGGTATTAAAATCCTCATAATCCAATCAAAAAGTTTGAATGTGATAAATTTAGAGTTAAGGATATCCCAAAACTTGAATGTGATAAATTTAGAGTTAAGGATATCCCAAAACTTAAAATTGATCAGCATTGTCTTATATTAGTGAATCCAAAATTAATTGTTTCCTATTTAATCCAGTTGAACATTTATTTCGAAATAAATCAAATGAAACAGCAATTAGCACATGTAAAGCAACAAAGAATTATTTAACTTAAATTATATTTGTTAATCCAACTATTCCCTATTACTCTGATAGCTATTAATCCTTAATAAATAGTGATTTGCCTCTAATTACAATAATTAAATTAAATAATTATTCAAACATTTATTAATCCCAAGTAAAAAGTATTCGACTTGTCATTCCTACTAAAAGAGCTCAATTACTCCAGTTTAAAATCCAATTTATTAATTAATTAATCTCTTATTAAATTACAATTAATCCCTGATTAATTTTGTTAGCATCCATGCATTTCATTGTTCATGAGTACGAATCTATTAATTTTCTAGAATTCAACGTATTGACTATCGTATAATTTTAAAGATAAAAAACCATCTTACATTATGGTACAACATAATTAACATGATTGAAATAAATTTCTACTTATCTAAATCCTATATTCAATCAAACAGTACCTTAGGTAATAACATACCCTTGAATATAAATAATGGCAATGGTAAACTCACCAGATTATTTCCAGGCTCCTTCCAGTAGATGCCCTGAATAAAAATGGGCAGTATGTTGCATGCCATTAGCACAAAAATCTCCAACGCATGCTTTCCCATCCACTCCATTGCGAGCATTGGTCTCCTAATTCCGTATACATCCACCTATATTGAAACAATGGAGAGTGAGTTTATATATTAGTGTTCTATTCCAATGTATTTACATACACAACACCACCTAACCTATAGCCATGCATGAAAAGAAGTATTTCATTTTTTAAAAGTTAAAATGTTGGGTGGTTTTGATTTGATATGAAAAATTTGGGTGGTTTAAATGTAAAAAAGCAAAATTTATATGTAATAAATAAGAATTGAATAGTATGTATGTAAATGTCTCATATGCTCCAGGATCTAACCAGCAAATAGGATCCAGCCAGGAGAAATCCCGATACACCAGCTGTAACGCATGTGTAACTGACGGTGTACAGAGCTTTGTTCATATGCATGCCTGTCGTGAGACAATAACAAATTAAAATTCAACTGCAATTTGTAAAAATGTTTGGGTTATGCTGCAAAGAAGTAAGCTCTTACCAAAAAAGTCAAGGCAGAAGGCAGAGGCGAGGAGACAGGAGGAGGGGATCATCCAGTGCAAGATCCGGTCCTTGTGATGCTGGAAGTTAATAAAATTCACAAAAATTATGATTAATAATCAATATATGAGAAAAATTTTAAGAAGACCATTCGGTCATAAGCTCGCCCGAAGAATCTCTCAGTAAACGCACACAAACTAAGGTTGAGGAAGCTGATAAATGGACGGTTCAGACCGTACTACTTCAATATACAACAAACATTTATTAAAATAACATAAGGATTTAAATAGATAATATCGTATAGAATTAGAAGTTTTATTCATTTGTTTGGAACCAAACAGTTTTTCAGAATGTCTATGAAGGGAGCATGGTCATGGTAAAGCGAGAATACCTTGAAGTGCACAATGACATGCCCAAACTGAAGCCCGATTAAGCAAGTGACAACAGCCATAATGGTGCTGCGGATTAAATAAAATTAAACCCTTTAATTTTAAGAACAAATAAATAAATAAATAATAATAAAAACTTCAATTTTCGGAGGCTAATCCTAGAAGATAGAATGATTAAAAAGGGGACATTTTAATATATCAGACAATTTTTATGAATTTGCATATCTAATACATAATTTTTTATATTGACATTCGCACCACTCAAATTTTTAAATAAATAAATAATAATAAAAACTTCAATTTTCGGAGGCTAATCCTAGAAGATAGAATGATTAAAAAGGGGACATTTTAATATATCAGACAATTTTTATGAATTTGCATATCTAATACATAATTTTTTATATTGACATTCGCACCACTCAAATTTTTAACATCACATCAAACATACCACTTTACAAATCTTTTAAAAATCAGATGCACCTTTTCATACATAAGTTCATGACATCAAAGTGTTATAAATGTACATATCAAATTTAGAAGTTAGAATTCATAAGAATCGTGTGGCACGTAAGTAAATTTCCCAAAAAAAAAAAAAAAAAACGTGCCGCAAACCTGAGGAGTCCTTCAGGGTCGAAGGGAGCCTCACACCATGAAGGAGCATCCGATGGAAGTGGGCCGCTGTAGGGAGAATTAATGCTGCATTGCTATCAAGGTAATCCGGCAGTTAGAGGTATTAATTTATCTTCTGAAAAAAGAAAATGTAAATGTATGGTTTTTGCATTTGTACCTGAGTTCTTCCATAAACTGGCCGTTTATACAGATGCTCAATGCCCAATATTTTGCGATCGATCATCCCAACCGCATTGCAAGCGGGACTAGTATCACCCCTCACTCCACATTTTACCTGAACAATAATGGTAAAAATAAATTTAAAAGAAAAACTAAAATTTGGGGCATTTACATAAATACTAACCAATTCTTTTGTATTTGCATATCCAACACCTAAAGTTTACTTTTTTACCTTTATACCACCTAAATCTTTCTTATCACACCAAAATACCATCATTTTAACTTTTAAAAAGTGAAACGTGTCTTTTCATGATTAGGTTGCATGTATGTAAAAATTGAAGTTTAGGAGTTAAATATGTAAACACAGAGGAATTGAGTGGTATGTATGTAAACCTTCAAAATTTGAAAAGGCAATTCAAAGCATTGAAAAAACATATTGAAGAATCCTAATTGCTAGGCTAGGCAACGATTCATCTGGAAGCTACTTACTGAATAAAACTTTGTTATGCCATCCTGCAGTGGTATCTGGTACTCCCAATCAGGAACAAACAAGCCATACAGAAGATATACGTACGTAGCAGTTAGCACTCCTCCAACCAAACTAATGAATGAGTCCAAGAAAAAAAAATGCAATTAGAAAATAGAGGTAGCCAGTATTTTCATCATTATTATTCTTAACAAAAATTATTTAGGCCATATCCATGAATTATCATTTCCATTCATTTTTATTGAGCGTATTGGAGGTTCAATCCAATTTGTGCAAATCACTTGGCATTTCTTCTAATCATGAAAATTTTTGCATTGCCCTTTAGTCCTTCCACCACATTAAATTCATTTACTCATTTTGTTTGTGCACCTTACTTTGTTGACCTCTCCAAATTATACAAATCTTATTTTCACTTACTTTCGTCAATACTTTTTTGTCTCTCTCTCTCTCCTTTTTTTAATCATTTCTCAATTATCCTTTCTAAGTTTTGATAGGCATTGATCGTATAATTTTCATTTTTCTAACACCCAACTTAGCTATATTAGTATCTTCTATTTTACCCACCACAAATCCATATTAACACACAACAAATAAAAAGGTGGACTCTTTAAAATTGCTACTACTGAGCTAATCTTACTTTCAAATTTTTTATATTCTCCACTGATAAAGTTACGAATTGAAAACTTAATGAATTGCACTTGTTTCTCAAAAAAGAAATAGGGAGTTTCGATGAAAAAAGTGGAAACATACAGTTGTGTTCGATATTTCTTCATTAGGGAATATCCAGAATCCACCAAGGCATCACTTCTGTGCCAAACTTCGCATACTGCTACCAATAGATAGGCTATGCCAATTCTCTAGAAAAGGAAAATAATTCCTAATTAATAACAGCAGGAAAATAGGTGAGTAGCTTACGTACAAAAGATGAATTCATCATGTTTGCCATATTTTTTTAGCCAGGAATATATTATAATTAACATTAGGACAAAAAGTAGTCAGCAATCACGGAGTTATCATTCTGGAAGAAATCTCTGCCTAAAAGAAAAATAGGGAAAAAGAAGGACAAACCAAGATAGATAACCAACCTGAAGTACTCCCATCAAGCGTATACGTTGCAAATCAACACCAAAAGTTAAGCTGCGAATACCATGAAAATAGCCACCTGATTCCCATACATTTTGTGACATAAAAATGAGAATCCCTCGCCTAAAAGAAAATAAAAGAGGAAGTTGATTTTATAATAGCAAAAAAAGATGGTTTGTAATGTACCTTGAAGCAAAAGACCAATAGTGATCAATTTCAGCGCTCTAAGTACAACCTTCATAGTTGTAGCTATTCTATTGGAAACATTCTGTAAAAAGGCTAATTCTTAGATAACATAAAAAGAAGACGATAAAGACCTAAAATATAAAGACATTCAATTTAAAAAATTCAGCAATATTTTGGAAGCAGTACCTTAAAAGTCAGTCCCAGGGAAACACCAACGATAAATAGGAAGAAAGGCATAACAAAGTCAGCAATGGTTACTCCATTCCATGGTGAATGATTGATGGCAGGACAAAAACCGCCAGCATCATCTACGAGAATCATAAGCTGCAATTATATTATAAAAGAAGATCATTAGCATAACCATGAATAATTAATATGCCCCAAACATCCACAAAGAGAAAAAAAGTAGGTTTTGTTTAAACCCTTACGAGAAAAAAAAGAACAAACTGCAACAGTAGCAAAATCACGCCCCTCTAAAAGTAGCAGCAAAGATGTCGATGATTTATTTATAAGAAAAGTACAAAAATAATTCGTTACTCTTTGTTGGAGGTTATTTTAATCCCAGTTTTAAAAAAGTGCAAGTTTAGTCTCCAAAATGTTTTAATACATACTGAAATAGTCTCCTATTTCAATCTTGATGTTCAAGAAAACTATTAGGGTACTATTTTAACACTTTAAACTTTATGCAGTTTGTCCTTTGATATAGTTAAGAGTGCTTCAATATTGTACTGAATATGAAGTAATTCCTTTATTTTCAAAAAAAAAAATCTAAAAGAAAATAGAAAGAGAAATAATACCAGTTTAAATGGCTTATTCTAAAATTGGGAATAGATTTTTGTGGTAATTTGATTATTTTATGACAAGTTTATTAATTTACCATTGGTCGATGATAATTGATACCGAACATTTCCAATAAACTAAAACTTGCATAGCATTTAAAACAAACTATTTGTGTCCATGGATATACGCAAAGTTTGTCAAACCACATATATTCTTTGATGTTTATCATTGAGTATTATTTTTCCCATTCTTGTATGCCTTGTTACTCACACATTTTTAAGTTTCTTCTTCAATTCTTATTACTTTTATTGATTGCAAGCAAAAGTCGTGAATTTGAGGAGGAAAGAGGCAAACAATAAAAAAATTCTACCAAGCTTCTAGCAAAACGATGGTTACTCATATATTTTATGTAAAAATGACAAAACAAAATTTTACTTTGGAATTTAAAGTATTTGATCAAGAGTGCCGCTAGAGCAAGCAATCCACTAACGAGATTAGAGCGAAAACAGATGTGTAGGTATAACACGAAGCTAGACTTGGAGGAATCAGATGTGCGCATCACAAAAAAATCACTATCATCTACTTTTAAAAATTAAATATATTTTTCATGCATAAATTTATCACATCAAAGTGGAATGAATGTAAATATGGAAGTAAAGGTGTCAGGTACGTAAATTTATAAGAATTGTGGTATCCATGCAAATTTCCCTTTCTTTATATCACTTCCACTTACAAGTTGATCAAAAGCAAGTAAAGGCTATATGAGCTCATTGAGCATTTGAAACTCATGGATCTGATCACTCTCCCATTTTTTAATTTACAAAGATATTATTATTTTAGGATAATTAATCAGAATATATAGAATATCATACAGACTTATGTTTGCGTAATCTTATTTAGTTCTCTTTGTTAAAACATTATGGCTTAACTTTAAACAATAACTTATTTTGAATATTACATTATTCCTGCAAGCATAGGTAGATATTTCTCATCTGTGATTCAACAATTTTTTTTTTCCATGCGTCTGATTCTATGGCGACTGCTTCCCATGATTAGCTGAATCTTGACTAAATGCATTTAAATGCCAATTAAATTAATTAGAAAAGAAAAGTTAAAAAACACCGACTATTTCTTTGAACTAAATCTTTAATATATTAATTTGGACATGCATCTAAATTTAAAAGATAAGAATACTAGAAATACGCCCTTTCAGAACTGTGAACAAATTAAGGCCGCCTTTTAAATATTGAAAATACATAAATTAACGAAGATGCAAAGTTGTTGTTTCCCTATTAAGAAAAATAAATGGGAGACGATGCGTTGAAGCACGAAGTCAGTTTCCTTACAAGCAAGAACATTGGGAAAAGCAGAACTTACAAACCTACCCAACAAAAATAAATCTAAGTCGTGCAAACCAATCAAAGCATAATCAACACATTTAGAAAAGAAGACTCTTTAATCTAAAGAATCAAAAAGCGAATACGCCATATTTGAACCTATGATTCGTATACTAAACTGGCTACCTTCGCCTACAAGCCAACTATAATTAAGTACGCACGAATCAGGCAAAAACAATGTTGGAAGTGGAACCTATCCTCAGTTGAATAACGAGAAATTATTAAATATAAAATTTGTATGCAGGGGTGGAATCCGATCATGGTGAGCAATTGCCTTAATAAAATTTTCAACTTTACTATATAAATACTAAAACTTAATATATTTTTCTTATGTTATTTAGATAATTTAATAATTTGCGCCCTTAATATATTTTGTCCAACTACTTAAGAAAAATCAAAAATTTTGTGATTCCGTGCATCCTAATAAATGATTTTGGTTTCGTTCCTGAATTATAGCTCTATAGTTAAATATTGTGATTGCACAATTCTACGCCCGTTATGCATTTTAATTTTTGGAATGATATAAAAAAGTACAAATGTAAAAGAGCCATATTATATTAGTTAAAAGAGGTTGTTATGTCTCTAAGAGTATGAATTTGAACCACTCACATATATTGGTCAAAATTTATATGAAACTTAGGTTTCCATCTTGGAAGATTGGCTTTCGCTGAGATTCTACGTCAAGTTTCCACTTCAAGCACTCTATAACTACATGTTAGGCATACCAAGAGTTAGCAAGCCACCTAAGGGTAATGCGTGTGGAACTCTAGATTGATGCACCTGATACAAAGACAGAACTCCTATGGAAACCGCTTGCTGGTCGCAACCGACCACCACTTGAACAAATTCGTAAACAAAAATTAAAAAAATGGAAACATTGAGTGCCGTGGCATAAATCCAGCAATCAGTTCAATATTAAAATGCATTAAAGAAATCAAAGTAATTTAAAAAAACTTAAAATATTTAAAAAATAATAATTTAAATGCCAAATCATCCAAAATACATCACAGATTCGCATATCTGCAATTACTTAAGAGTCCAAACACTAAGGCTGTAGCTGGCCATATTAAATTTAACAACAATCAGATTTATTTCAAATAAATAAAACAAACAATCAATTAAACAAAAAAGTTTATTATACTTTTAAATAAACAAATATAATAATTATTATAGTCGCCTATTTAAATTTACAAAGAAATTTTGATTGTATATGCCACCGTTTAATGAATTAGAGAAATATATTTATTATTTGATATTTTCAAAAAAGAACATCTACATACATACCACCCAAGTCTTTTATATCTCATAAAAAATACCACTATTTTAAATTTTAAAAAGTGAAATATACTTTTTCATACCTATACGTATCAATAACTAATCTGTATAAATTTAAAAAATTTAACAAATACTATTTTTTATTTCGAAAAAGAACATCTACATACTTTAAGGTGGCATATAAATGAAAATTAAAGTTTAGAGGTTAGATATGCAAATAAAAAAACAAAAGACGAAAAATTTTCACTAATTACGTACTAAGACATATGTAAAGTAAAATTTTTCAATTTAAATAATAATATTTGCGTCAATTTTTTTCTGTTCTCTAAACGTCCCCTACGTCAACGTGTATGGAAGGCGACTTTTAACTGGAGGGCCTATGATTATAATTTCTTTTCTTTTGGAAAATTTACATACATACCACACAATTTTTATATATTTACATATCTAATACCCAAAGTTTGATATTTACACTTACAGCACTTTTCTGTCTTAAATTTATGCTTTTAAAAAAAATAAAGATGATATTTTTAATGTGCTATTAAATATTTGAGGGGTATGCATGTAAATATGAATGTGTAAAGGTTAGGCATGCAAATTAGTAAGATTTGTGTGGTATTTATTTAAATGCCCTTTTAAATTTAATTTATATCCCCTCGAAATAAAATTAAAACTATATTTTGGACAAGCGCAGTTGCTTGGGATGAGAAGGAACAACCGCAAATAGCCCCTTAAGCTCCAAACGTGCCGTAACGCCTTTATTTGTTTTTTTTCTGTATATACATGCATTGACCGATTGTTTCTGCGGTTGAGGATTTTTCAGAGGTTTAAATTATAAATTCGAAATAAATAAATGCCTTTTAATGTTTTTCTCGTCTTATTGCAATAGTTTTTTCAACCCTAGTGATGAGTGCCGAAGCAAGCAACAGAGTGGTGTTAAATATAGGCAAAAACGTAAGGTGACATTAACAGTCACAAATGGCAAGGACAACAGCGGGACGTCCGGAGCTACATTAAATAAATGGCGAGCAGTTCAACGGCCAGCAAGACGGAATGCGTAGTACAGCCCTGAGTGAAGAAAATAGCTAGGACAACTTAAATTTATTCGATTCATTTTAAAGCTGGTATGATACATAAGACGAGATCAATTAAAAACTAGATTAACATAACGATGAACATCAATCAAACAGCATTAAAAGAAAAATGAAAGAATGGAGGCGGGGAATGGAGATCATTATCAATAAATTCATGAAGTGTTGAGCGAAAGATGATCGAATGGCCATTTTCATAATATTACGAAATTGAGTGGAAAAGAAATCATAGGCAATATAATCAGATGAAATGATGTGAAGATTAGAATAAATCGAACAAAATCAGTTCAAACGGATGAAATAAATTAAGATTTCCGCAATGCACATCGAAGGGGAGATTTGATCAGAAATCGTACCGCTACAGTAATTCCCCTGAAAACATCGAGGGACACGAGACGAGGGTTTCTCGCGGCGGAAGACGGAGGACAGCCGACATCGCCGACCAATTTCTTGAGAGGCGCGACGGAGCCAGCTATCGAAGATTTGGCGGCTTTCCCCACCAAATTTTTGCCTGATTCCACCGACTTCTTGGAAGCAAACCCCTCCTCGAGATCGCAGAGATTTTGAATAGGATCGGCGACGGCGCATTCATCATCCTTGACAAGCTCATAAACCCCCATCCCAGGCGATGCTTCGGCCTTCCAATCACAACCCAATAAATATAGAAGAACGATTGCTGGGGTTCAAAACGCAGAGTTCCCGCCGGCGGCCGGAGACCGATGATCGGATAAGTGGAATCGCGAAAGCAGAATTATCTATCTCCGCCGCATTGCATGCGGCGGAGAAAGGGTTCCGGCGGATCTGCACAGACCGCTGAGGTGAATCCGGGAGGAAAATGCTTCTCCAAAAGCGTCCTCCACCTTTCCTTCGTAACCGCTTGACGCTGTCGGTCTCTCTCTCTCTCTCTTTCTATCTCTGGCGATTCACCAAATCCTAATTCAGTCACTGGTGACCCATCGTCTCCTTAAAAAGACGAAGAGCGCAAGAAAGGGATAATTCAAGCCACGTGTGAGCGCTTATAATTTGTAGTTTTGTAAATATAAAATTTTTAAAAGGTAAGGGCGGGATGGCAGAAATATTATATTATCTTTGGAAATTGCGGGACACGATCTAAGTTGATTATAAATTTAAGTGAGATGATTTGCTTATAAGTTGTTGTTAAAATTAAAGATCTGTTTGGAATAGCTGCAGCTTATTGAATAATTTGTTGATAATCTGATTAAAATAATATGCGTGTGGTAGCTATTACAAATTTTTATTTTTTTGGAAAATCAGACTGCTTCCACAAAGCTGTCACCGCACCAAGATATTGCGGTGTGAAAATATTATTTTCAGCGTTTTTAAAACACATAAGCTGTCAAAACGCAGTTTATCAAAACAGATCAAATGTGTTTTCAAAACGCCACCCCACCAAATAAACTGTTCCAAATGAACTCTAAGTCGCAATGGTGCGACATCGTATCGTAGTTTTAACTGTTTCCATACGATTTTGATAGTTTTTTCAAAAAGTCACATCTAAAATCTGTGTTTTCTCTTGACTAAATGCAATAGCGACTTTTTAGCTACGGTCACACTTAAAAAAAAAAAAATTGTAATAATCACCGCAGCCTTTTTAAATATTAAATTATTATCCAAGAATTTCAGAATAACTTTTTAATAAATTGAAACTGCCCCAGGCAGACCCTAGTTTAATTTTAATGTAAGAGATATTTTATTTCACCAAGTATTTTCGGAAATAATAAATACCGAAATGGATTTACCTATATTAATTTTATAATAAATTTTATTGATATTTACGTACTTGCCATGGAATTCATAGGTAGTTGCCTATGATATGCGTCAAAATCATCACAATTAGCTACTTAAAAAGAAAATTATGCGTAAATTATGTGACTAATTTGTTATAAATCTAAATATCAAATTTTAAGTGTTAGAAATGTAATAACATAGGAAAAATGCTTAATTTTTAAGAAAGTTTACGGGAGATTTACATAGATAGTACTTGATTATTACGTATTTACATATCGAACTTCAATTTTTACATATAGTGATATTTTTTATATGATATGAAAATTTTGAGTGGTATAAATGTAAAAAGTAAAATCGAGATGTTAGATATGTAAAAACATGACAATTAGGTGTTGTGTATGCAAATTTCCCTTAAAATAAATTTATTACTTTACGATTACTCTATTTACATGCATTTTACTGGTTATTGCTTGTGTTGTAATCATTTGAAATTTTTGTACTGTTATTTATTGAATATCATAAATAATTATGTTGTATACACACGTTTAATTGGGATTAAATAACAATATAAGCTTAAGAAGTAGAATGCATTCTAAAAATAATATTATATATGGATATTGGATAGTTCGGCGTCATGGGCCCACAATAGAATAAATGAGTTTTCTTGGACAAATTCAGGACTAATCGAGATTGAAAGGATTGCATGATTTGAAACCCATCATATGACACAGTCCATATCTCAGCAAATCTGTTAAAATCGCCTCTCGAGCTGACCTGCCAAATTTACATGGTTGATTGACTGTTAGGTTGATCTGAAGGAGCGATATGGCTTATTGTCCTATAGATTCAATTACTTTTTCAGCCCCCATACAAATCGTGGGAGTACAATTCATCACTACCCCAAAAGTAAGGATGCTCCTTAGATAGTTGATGCTATATAAATAAGATTATTGCATTCACCAAAGCATTAGTAATCTTCTCTCACAACTGTAATATCTTCTATATGTCTTGTCCCTCAGAAGTGCTAAACTCATTTTTCTTCTTGCACGGAAAGTCCGGCTTAACGGGACTACTTTGTCCGAATTGCATTTTTTTCCTTCGGGTTTTATATTATTTTTTGGGGTGTTTGCTTACATTCCACCCAATTCTTATTTATTTATGGTCGACACCAAAATTTTATTTCTTTTCCTACAATTACACCACAAAAATCTTTTATATCACATAAAAAATATCATTATTTTAACTTTAAAAAAATGAAATATTATTTTTCATGCATATATGTGTACATAACTATTGAAGTTCAAGTGTTTTAAGATATGCAAATACATTAGAAATGAGTGGTGTGTACACCTTCCATTATTTTCTTTAAATATTCTAATTTTAAAATGTTGCCTTTACTAAATGACTTGCCAATTCCCACACTAAATTTGTTAGATATACTATGAAAAATAAATAAATGCCTAGATATGAAAAAAAAAAATTAAATTACTGTTTTAGGAACTGTCCAAATGGAGATCACCCCAAGTTATTTGAAGGTGTTATTTTGACCCCCAATTAATGAACTAAGGTAAAAGGGCAATTTTGTAATGTGGCACCGCCACCTACCACATCTCACCTACCGCTCACCTACCGGCCACCTACCGGCCACCTACCACCCACCTACCTCCCACCTACCACTCTCTTGCTTCTATAAATAGAGAGGGTGTGAGGCCTAGGAGAGCAAGGGAGAAGATATCTTGAGCTACCACAAAGGAGGAGAGAATAGCTATAGAGTTAGAGAGGAGGAGAGTATCTTGAGGCCTTGTATCAAGGTGTCGCTTGAGAGGGAGGCCATAGAAGGAAGATGAGGGCTCATCTCTATGTATAAGCTATGTATTCTCCATTTCTTTTACCTTAGTGAAATATTTGATTGATTCCCTCCCGTGGACGTAGATTCAGTTGGATCGAACCACGTAAACGATCTGTGTTTGCTTGTGTTCTTTTTCGTCTCATTTCTATGTCAGGAAGTACATATCTCTCAACAATTGGCGCCGTCTGTGGGAAGATCCATACTTCTTGGCTAGAGGTGTCCGCGTAAAGGTGTTCGTGGCCAGCGACGAAGAAGAGGAGTTCGGCATTCACGAACAGAGGAGCAAGCAGATCGCGTCGCAGGCAGCCGAATTGTGACAGATTCGGTGAGCGGTGGAAGCTTTGATCGACTGGATTAGCACCGCAGGTTGTGCGGTTCGGCGAGACGGAGGAGGAACTGTCCGCGAAGGAGTAGAAGAAGGCAGGTAGTTCGGTCCGCGAAGGGACAGATCTCGCGAAGGAGGAGGATTTCTGCGACAGCTCTCGGAATTCAGTAGGTGCTCAACAAAGCGGACTTCGCACGTTATTGAGGATCAAGTCACAATAATGGGTTCCGCCAAATTCGACATCGAGAAATTCAACGGTAATAATGATTTCGGTCTATGAAGAGTAAAAATGAGAGCTCTATTGGTTCAGCAGGGTGTTG